TTTTAAAATTCCTGTCTTTTTCTTAATTGTTAATTCATGTGTAGTAATAATTTAAAATATTGGGAAGATGTGGTTTCACTTAACCACGTGCAGCCTTTTCAAATGCTTTAAGGCATCCTACTCCCAGGAAACACCCAATTCACTTTTGTTGCCATGGCGACAGCAGCGGACAAAAAGCTGCAGCTTTCCTTCTTTCTCCATCCAATTTACGAATCACAATGAAAGCCAGATGCCATGAAAGAATGTGGCCTCACACTATAAGATTTCTTCTGAAGCCACACACATCGCCAAATACTGGAATAATATACCAACGTCTCTTTAGTAGCTAGAAACGGGGAAAATTCTCTACTGCCAGAAATAATCAAACAAATAATGTGTGTAACAGTTAGTGGTTTGTCTGAAAACGTTACGTTCGGCAGGTTGCACAACTACCTGAATCATAAGTCAGATAAGCTTTCTTGATTATTTATGAATGAAGTGTAATTAGCTTCTATCACCATATCTTTAGTGTAATCCCAAAATAAAATTTTAAACGCCCATAGACTTTCATTATGTACCACATTAAATAAAATAAATCAGTCAAATCTTATATAAGATCTGATACAAAAACATTATATAACTTCAGCGGTAAAAAGCACGACCTGTTATCGGCATGTGATCAGCAAGAACCACAGAGCTAAGCTAGCTCCCTGATAAGTGAATTACATCTACATCAATTGAGAACCACAAAGCTAAGCTAGCTCCCTGTAAGTGAATTACATCTACATCAATTGAGAACCACAAAGCTAAGCTAGCTCCCTGATAAGTGAATTACATCTACATCAATTGAGAACCACAAAGCTAAGCTAGCTCCCTGTTAAGTGAATTACATCTACATCAATTGAGAACCACAAAGCTAAGCTAGCTCCCTGTTAAGTGAATTACATCTACATCAATTCAAAATTAATTCGCTCATCCTAAACCCTTGATAAGACATCAAGGAAGTTCCAGACCAGAAAGAAGACTCGATATTGTTTGTAAAACCTCTGTAAATAGATTATTTGTAATAACTGTTATTGTAAATTTTATTATTGTTTGTATATCAAACTATATTTGAATTAAAAAAGAAACTGTGTGTATCAATCTTGTTGGCAAATATAAATTGGATACATATTGGCATTTATTTAACTATTAAATCTAAATTACAATTTAACTCGGTTTTAGTCTATTTGAAATTGTAATACGTAACAGGTGCGTCAGAAACAAGCCAGGTTGAGAGAGAAGGGAGCGATGATATATCAAAAATAATTTAGAACGAAAAGAATGTTATACAAATGTTGTTTGTCTGACCTAAAATTTTCACGGAAAGCTACACAAAGACTATCTGCAAATTGCTGGTCCTAATTTTGAACATCTGAAATTGAAGGAGGGTACCTAGTCAACGCCATACAATGCCAGAGACTACTCTTGTTTGACCTAATAGTAGGATTTGACCGTCATTCTTATAGCGCTCCCATATAGGACGCATGTTTTGCTGCAACAGGAACGAACCTACAAGATAAACGTAAAATGTTTACGCCATGCTTTTTTCGAAGGTAATAATGTTGCTAATTTTTTTCTGGAAGGCATAAGGTAATAGTGTTGTAATCTTGGTCAGCATTCTGTATGTAATCATCCTTATGGTAATAGTGTTGTAATCTTGGGGTAAGCAGCTAGATAAATTAGGTAATCTGAGGAGACAGTTAGGATCTACTAAGTCTTTTGGTAAGCAGCTAGATAAATTAGGTAATCTGAGGAGACAGTTAGGTTCTACTTCATTTATAGGTGTTATGTGTTAGAATTTCAAATGGTCTGAAACTGAGGTAACTGATAAATTTAAATTTAGTAGTTAAATTGTACTTTGGATTTAGCAGTTAAGTAAAAGCCGATATATAGTCAGTTTATGATATTTGCCAACAAAATTGATAAACACAGTTTTCTTTTTTTTTAACACCAATACATTTTAATATATACACAATACAATTTACAATAACAGTTATTACAAACAATGATTTATAAACAAAAGTTTCACAAACTTACAAGCAATATAAAGTTTTCTTTCTAGTCTGGAACTTCTTTGATATCTTATTGAGGGTTCATGATGAGCGAGTTAATTACGAGTTGACATAGGTATAGTTCACTTAACAGGGAGCTAGCTTTGTCCTTCGTTATTTACCAGCCACATATGCTGAGTTTTCCACCATTGAAGTTAGGTAATGTTTTCATAAAAGTACTAATATCTGATGAGAATCCACTGAAGTTAAATGATTTGTAATGTTCGAACTTTGCAAATGCTCCTAGTCAAATATCTTAAGTTTTCCGATTGATAAGCGTTATAACAATCACAGTTATAGTTTCCAACGTTTATAGCACACTGACTATATATAGCGAACTAATAATAGATACTCTCCTTTTGGCGCGCATCAACTTGGTTATATTTATAGCGTGTTGAAGCGTTCTAGAAATTTCAGTTTTATGTAATAATTCAAATTAAATCGTCTATGTAGACACATATATTGTTGATTCTTACTCTTGAGAATCTTCAACAACTTTGGAGAATAGGCGGGAGTTTCGCAACACATATATAACAGTATAAGCTATGTATGTTTCCAAATACAAACGTTGGTATTAAAATAAATATATAATAATAAATTTGTCACATAGGTGAGCAGCTAGCTAAATTAGGTGATCTGAAGAGACAATTAGGTTCTACTTCATTTTAGGAGAAATCTGATGATATGATATTTAATTTTTCTAAATATATTCTGAATGACATTAAGAAAAAAGTATTAGCTTGAAATTCAAAGTTTAGTATTCCTAATGAACATAACTTTGAGGATCATTTGTTCAATTTGAACAGTTTTTAGTGGTGTAGCTTTCACTTGTTTTAATAATTATTATAATGAATATAAACATTTAAAGCTTTAAAAAATTAAGTAAAAATAAAAATATTGTGATTTCTATATCAGGTAACAAAAGACTTAGTAGATCCTAACTGTCTCCTCAGATTGCGTAAATTAGCTAGCTGCTTACCTATAAACAAAGTAGAACCTCAGTGTCTCCTCAGATTACCTAATTTA